ATTGCCATTTGATAGGACCTAAGAAAAGTCCAATGAAGTGTCTTATCGAATAAGAGTTGAGATTTCTAGTCTCACTCTAGTGCACTCTAGACATTGTTCAACCAGCTTCATTTGTTTAAGATCTTCAGTGTACCATTTTTTTACGATTTTTTGCAGGTTGGAAAGGACGCTTGGGAGCGATCGTGTCTACAGCTCTGGTAAGGTTGTTATTCCACATATTAACCAGAGCTTCAACAGAATCGCCGGCATTGCCAACCACAGAACCCTCTAGGGCAGGGGTGAGCAACCTACGGCCCGGGGGCCGGTTCTGGCCCAGGGGCTACGCTAACCGCCCCCGCCGACCCCTGCCGCCGCCACCTGCCACCGCTACCACGAGTTTTGGCCACCGTGTGTGGCGCCCACCATTTTGTTTTCCAAATGGCAGCCGTGACGCATTTGCACATGCGCAGTACTCCTGCACATGCGCAAACGCATCACGGCCACCATTTTGGAAAACAAAATGGCAGGCATCACACACGGCGGCTGAAACTCGCGGCGGTGGTGGCATGTTTATGTTTATAGGCATCTGAGGAAGTAGGCTGAAGGCTAGAAAAGCTCACACTATCAACTTCTTTCTTCCGGTTAGTCTCAAAGATGCCACAAGATCGCTTTGCATACTGTATATGTACACACACACACACACACACACACATTTATATTTGTGAGTACATACACACCTATATTTATGCATATACTATTATTGTTATGTGCCTTATTTCCAACTTATGGTGACCCTAAGGAATTTTCCTGGCAAGATTTGTTCAGAGGGGGCTTGCCTTTGCCTTCCTCTGAGGCTAAGAGACTGTGACTTGCCCAAGGTTACCCAGTGGGTTTCATGGCCAAGTGAGGATTTGAACGTTGGTCTCCAAAATCATAGTCCAATACTTTCATACCTGCCTGGCTCTCTTACACACATACAAGTTGAAGCGATGAGCAAACATTACTGAAAAATATAACATGAGCAAAATGTTTCAGCTTCTGCCTTCTTCAGCTGCTAAAAATGAGGTGGAAGTTTAAATACACATTCCAGCACTACAAACAAATCCATCCATCCTCCTATCTGTTTTGTGTTCTAAACTACCATCTTGTATGCATCTCTCAACTTTAGCAACTGAAGAAATGTCTTTTTCTGTCCAGGTTATCTCTCTCCAGGTTAGATTTCATCCTCTTCCTTAAATTTTCAGAAATCTTATCTCAAGCCACCATCATCCTCCACCTGATGGATCAGGGTTTAGTTCACCTCAAACTTCCTTCTCAATACACAAGCATACTTTCCTATCCTTCATCCCCATTTTGCACAGAATGCCCCAGTAACAAATTTAAGATACCTTTCCAGAACAATTTCACACTCCTAAGTATTGGTAATAACTTGTTTTGATTGGAACAGTTTTGAACAAAACACATACACAGATTTTTTTTGTGGCATACTGGTTGCTGTGCTTCTCTAAACTTCATTCACAGAGAATATTTTCTGTGAAAATATTTCCAGAGCACATGGAGCTTTTCTCCTGACCATTTTCTTCATCTTTATGATACCACAAGACTCAATGGACCAGTGAAATAGATTCTGCAGTTCATAAAAGCATATGCCACAGTAAATGTGTTTGTCTTTTGCCAACCCTAAAGCTTCATTGTTTTAACATAATAAAAATGAAAATAAATACACACATAATGTCACTAGATGAATATGGCTTGTCTCTCAGTTCATGAACATGGACCCTTGGAGGAGGAAATACATGATCATATTGTAACTTATAACTTGTTCTGAGTTTGCCAATTACTACAAAGTTACACAGTCATGTCACTCAATGGCATGTAGCCAGTAGCAAGAGGTCGCATTGTGACTGTCTGGGAGAGTAGCAGTACTAAAAGACATAGCCATGTTAATCTGCTTCAGCATAAAAAGATCTTAAAAACCCAGTCCACTAAGAAAAAACTCATTCCACAGTAACACATAGTAGAAATTTATTTTTCACAGTCTTAAAGGAGGAATCAGGATTCCTCTATATACCTTTTAATGTCTCAGAGAGTGTTGTGTTTTTGTTTTTTTTTTTGCTCATGTCCAGCTTTGGGGCTTCCCATAGGCATATTTTTGGCCACAGTGGGAACATACTGTACTAAAGGTCGTTTAGTCTGATCTCACTGCACTCTTTACATGCTCATTTGATATGCAGCTGTTATCATCTATGAAATCAATTTCCATTTCTGCGCTACAGCACATGCAATATGCATTAATAAGAAAAATTTTGAGCCATACAATAACTTAATGACAGTTAACTTTTTATAGATGATCCCCCCCCCCAATAAACTCCACAAATCTACCACAAGTGAAAATGAATTACAGTTCCTTTGCTATTGTTGAGTGCCTTCAAGTTGTTTCATCTTTATAGCAACCCCTAACGTGTCATCTAGTTTTCTTGGCAAGATTTGTTCATAAGAGGTTTGTCATTGCCTTCCTCTGAAGGGTCATTCAGACGTTGTTTTTGGCATGCCGATGCAAATCATCCCACTCACATTCTGGGTTTGTTCTTCACACTATGGGACTGCATCAATGCGCATCTCTGCAAGTTGGGTTACTCACATGTGCAAGTATTCAAATAAAGATGGAGTCGATGATGCAAATGCATTTGAAACATGTTCTAGGCATGCTGTGTTTTATCCTGGGTCTATCTGGGTCTATTTGCATCGGTTATTCACAATACTGACAATGCAGATCTTTTTTTAAAAACACAGGGAAAAACCTGATATCAATTATCCCAGATTAAGTGGGATTTTTTTTGGCAGTCCCTCTCCCAAAACTTAATTCAGTGTATTCAGGATGCATGTGAACAACAGAGGTTCAACCTGGATTCGTCCTGGATTATCTTCACAGTGTGAATAACCCATGAGGCTGAGAGAGCATGACTTGCCTAAGATCACCAGTGGGTTTCTATGGCTGAGCAGGAATTTGAACCCTGGTTTCCTGAACTGTAGTCCAATGGGGGGGTTACACAAGGAGGACCATCTACACCTCCTTGTGCACAGTGCTAACAATTGTTAGCTACGATGTCACTGCTGTTCTTCACTTTAATGACACCACCACTACTGCTGCTGCCCAGTAGTTGTTTCCCTATGTCATTCTCCCTCCCCCCATTATTGTTGAATCGGTAGTTTTCCGACCCTTCTTCTCCCTCCTCCACCCTTTTCCCTTTCCCAGTCATGTCTTTCTTTATTTTAGTCTTTCATCTGTCTTCTGGCCCTTTTTTGATTTTCCTTGTCTGTCTACTCTGTTTTCTCCTCTCCTCCCTCTGGAAGGCAGGGAATTGTGTGTGTGTGTGTGTGTGTGTGATGGTCTGTGCTGGGGCTATGATGGATTCACGTGGCTGGAAGGGGATTAGAAGGAGTCTTTTCCCACCTCTCCTAAGATAAAGACAAACCCCATCAGAAGCAGCACCACACACAAAATAGGGACATGGAATGTGAGAAGCATGAGCCAAGGGAAGCTAGACATAGTGAAAATGGGAATGCAACGCAAGAACATAGCAGTACTGGGGGTGAGTAAGTTAAAATGGACAGGAATGGGACACTTTGAATCAGATAGCCACACAGTGTTCTACTCAGGGAATGAAAAGACAAAGAAACAGGGTGACTTTCATACTAAGAAAAGATGTTGCAAAAGCAGTCAGAAGATACAGTGCATAGAATCATAGAATCATAGAATCATAGAATCATAGAGTTGGAAGAGACCACAAGGGCCATCCAGTCCAACCCCCTGCCATGCAGGAACTCCCAATCAAAGCATCCCTGACAGATGGCCAAAATCAGAACAAATCATTTCAATAAGGCTCCATGGGAAAGCTATGAACATCACCATAATTCAAGTATATGCACCAACCACTGAGGCAGAACAAGAAGAAATTGATAGATTTTACAAAGGAATACAGGAAGAAATTGACAACACATCAACACAGGACGTCAAGCTGATCACTGGAGACTGGAATGCAAAGGTTGGAAATAAAGAAGAATCAAAAACAGTAAGCAGATTTGGATTAGGCAAAATAAACAAAGCAGGTGAGAATCTCATAGAATTTGTGAAGCCTACAACCTATTCATTGCAAACAAATTTTTCATATGATCAGAGAAAAGGTTATACACATGGACATCACCAGGCCAACACAAAAACTAAATAGATTACTTAATTGGAAGTAAAAGATGGTGAAGCTCCATACTGGTGGCCAAGACTAGACCAGGTGCTGATTGTGGCACAGATCACAAACTACTCATTCAAAAATAAAAGTAAAACTCAAGAAGAGAACAAAATCAGTCATCATACCAAAATACGATTTAAACAACATTTCCTCAGAATTCATTGACAATATAAGGAACAGATTTGCAGTACTAAGAATAATAGATCATGAACCGGAAGAGCTTTGGTCTGAAGCCAGGGACATAATAAAAGAAGAATGCATAAAGACACTTCCAACAGACAAAAGGAAAGTGAAGAAACCATGGATGACAGATAAAATACTACAAGTAATAAAGGAATGAAGAGGGGGAAAAAGAAGAAGATAGAATGCAACAGTACAACGGCTAATGTGCAAATATAAGGAAAATTACTACAACAACAAATGTAGAGAAATAGAAGACAACAACAAAAAAAGAAGAACAAGAGACCAATTCCACAAGATTTGAGAAATCAAGAGAAAGTTCAAGCCAAGGACCAGGACGCTCTACGACAATAAAAATAACATAATTCAAGACCAGGATGGAATAAAAAGACAATGGATGCAATACACAGAAGA